ATCTAATACTAATGTTCATCATTCTCCAAGTTTAAACAAACCTTCCTTCTGCCGATTGGGGGTCACTTTGTGGGGGAGCTGGAGGACCAGGACTGTGATGGCCAATGCATTAAATCCCGCCGCCTTCGGCGATGGGATTTCAACTTTTCTTGTCCTAACCTGTAAATTTCCCTTATTATTCTCTGTTCATCCATAAAACCAGTCTCTAGTTTTTACAGCTCTGTCTTAAGACCACAGTTTGTTGTCTTGGAGTGCTGAGAACAGAAGTTCATTTGATCACTGTGTGCCTCATCCTCAAAGCATCTAAAAATAAACAAGAGCACATGGTAAAGAATGGTGTCTGTGAGTCAAAGCGACAGGAGTTACGCAAATGTCAAAATGGAGCAGATATGGGGTGTATTTTTAGACATCTATTTAAAAGTCTCCATTTATAAAAGTTAGGTTGGTGCTTTGGAAATGTAGATCTCTGGTAATGAGACTTTGATCTGACTGTGACTTCCTGGCTTCTCTGTGTCGTAGATCACACAGTGGAAGCAGCCTGGTCTGTAACTGAAGGCTGAGCGTCGGTGTTTGGATTGACCAGCCCAGATCCAAACCACCTGGGAATCATCTGTAGTTGGACGTGGCAGATCTGRGAAATCCAACATTAGCTGACATGTAAGGCTTCAAGTGAAGTTGAAAAGAAGTTTGCAGCGCCGCATTGATGGTTTAATGAATAAAAGAAAAAAAAATCAAGTCTTTTGTTTCAAATGAATGCCAGTCTTTTCTAGGATAAATATTTGGAAGCTACACTTCACATCTGCTTTCCATCACGTCTAACCTCAGAGCTCAGACGTGAACRGCTCCATGCTAACAGATGTTCAACACTGCATCCTGTTGCCGACAAATAAGATTAATTTCAAAACGCTGAGGAAATTGCAAAGACTTTCATTTGAATGTTGCCTATAAAAAATATATCAACACAAATGTTACAATTTATGGCACATTTTCTGTGAAAGACGTGGACTTAGGTTATTTTTGTCATCTGTGTCTCTTTTGTGTCTTGTAAAAAAAAGAGTCTGGGCCTACACAGCTTTCTGGATTGGACTTCTAGTTTAATTTTGAGTAATATTTCTGCAATAATATGCTACTCCAAATAATGAAACAAAATGGGGGGGCTTCCTGTGAACTGATTAGAAATTTAATGGTGAACTATGCACATGCTTAACTCCATCTCAGACTCACAGACAGATGATTTCATGACCTCAGCTCTATTTTAGCACAGACCTAGTAAGTCACATACAGTCGCCACAGATTACATTAAAAAAGGTCTTACTGTATTTTTTTCTGTTTTTCTTTGGTTCCGTTCTATCTGCTCCAAATACATTTTTAAACAGAACTGACCTTTTGCACATGACGTTGCGTTCTTAGATGGTGGCCCACTCCTCCATGATAGACTTCAAAACAACCTATGTGTGTGTAAACTCCTGCACAGCTAGTCAAAAAACAAAAGGTTGGCAGCCTAACATTGCTTTTATGTAGTTGATTTACCTGTAAAAATGGTCAAAGTACGCATACACCATACACCAGTGCTCAGCGCTACCACTCTTTACACTACACTATCTATAACACAGAACCAAAATGAGCTCAACAGCTGTGGGCGAACAAGTGCCACAGTAGAAAAAAGAAGCAGACAAAATGGTTGATATGAAAGAAAAGCCTAAATTCAGTGGAGTGGACGCGGTTCAGGTTTTGAAGGTACGATAGACTTCAACTTTCATTCAGCTGTAAAATGTGCCGGAGAGCAGCAGTAATTCATCAGATCTGTTCCACCATCTGAAAAAGTTCCACTTGACAGAACTTTCTGAGTGTCTGAGAATGAAGCGCCCTGAAAGTTTAAGTTCTGTACCTGTAACGTCCATGACTATACTGGCAAAAACAACCTGSGAAAACAATCACAAGCTGCGTTTCCATTGACCATAAAGATGCGCAAATTGGAATTTCGAAAATAAATTTGCGTCAATTTCAAAAAAACTTGTTTTTCGATAAAATGTTTTTGCRYTAGGATAAAGTGTTTTTTCGGCCGTATTGAAATTGGTGTATTTTGCAAAACTGCAATGGAAACACTTTTTTCGCATCACGGGAGTCACGTGAACAACCAGATGTTTCTATTGGCAAAAAAAGACAACGACAGTGGCTAGAGGAAGTAGTAGTAAAATCACTGAAGTAGTAAAAGAAAGTAGTAAAATTGCCAGCTACAATTTCCCAAAAACGCAGCAAACATTGCCGCTCCCAAGTWTAAGGGGTTTGTCACTCAAAAGYCTCAATAAGACACCAACGTCTCCTCTGATGGCTGAYGGTAAGCTCTAAKGTCGTGGTAGCAATATTTTTGTATCTCATGTAAGTGTTTAGATTTGTTGCCGCCATTTTTGTAATGACATCGTGAGAACAAACGTATTCATGTGTGATTTTAATAGAATTTCTTACTTAATGGAAACACAATTGCGAAAC